ACGTTATTTTTTTTTTTTTTTTTTTTGAGACAGAGTCTCGCTTTGTTGCCCAGGCTAGAGTGAGTGCCATGGCATCAGCCTAGCTCACAGCAACCTCAAACTCCTGGGCTCAAGCGATTCTCCTGCCTCAGCCTCCCGGCATGCGCCACCATGCCCAGCTAATTTTTTCTATATATATTAGGTGGCAGAGACGGGGTCTCGCTCTTGCTCAGGCTGGTTCCGAACTCCTGACCTCGAGCAATCCGCCCGCCTCGGCCTCCTAGAGTGCTGGGATTACAGGCGTGAGCCACCGCGCCCGGCCTCATTACATTATTTTTAAATGTTCACAATTTTATTTTGATAAATGAAAAATTAGAAAAGTCGTATCACGGCTGTCAGCTAAAGTCGCTGTGTGCGTTCTTCTGTAGAAGAACTATCGACTGTAGTCGACGCTGGCACCAAAGTGGTTAACATTGGCAACGAATTTGACATTAATTTACCATTCCAGCAAAAAAAGCACCAAGTTTGCAACCTCTGGTCTCCTCATGTCTTCCTTTATATGCATACATACCTATGTGGTTTTACCAGGACATTAATAATGGACCAGCTAAGCATTTCTTTGCTGCTTCCAGAGTTAAGAGCAGACTCGTCTTTAACCACTACTCACCCAGATCTTTAAATGCCATCTCTGCCAGGCACTGGACGTGTAAGCAACTAAAAATTGGGATGATTAGACAGTAGCAGTCTCTTTCTGAAAGACCCAAAAATACTCATTCTCGGCAGCCACATCCTTAAAGCAAAGCTTACTCAGCTGTGGGACTGATTAAGAATCAAAGCAGCATGATACTCACAAGCTAAGATGAATCTGTTTTGTTCTACAGGGGACAACTGTGGGAAGGCTGGGAAGGTTAACAGCGATGGACCTCCAAAAACGGAGCGGCACCACCTGCGTGTACAGGCAGTGAAAAGTCGTGTGTGATTTCCGGCAGCCGGACGCCTGAGACAGCTCGCTTTCCGTCGACAAGGCAGATTCTGGAGGATAACCGTCAGGAGCACAGGGAGCTGCAGGAAGTCCGTTTCTGCCCCTGCTTTTGCTTTGGGTCATACCTCACCAGCTGCACAAAATGCACTGTCCCATATCAGAAAGCCACCACTAACCCTCCCTGAGAGGCTCACACGGGAAAAAGAACAGAAAGAGATTTTCTTGGAAATTTCCCCTAAGGGTGAAAGTCACTGGAATTTTTTTAAATCATAGGGGAGAAACAACCCTGTTTTAAATCCTTTTATTCTCTGGGTTCGTCACAAAGGAAGAACTAAGCAGCAGGACAGAGGCGACTTGCAGAGTCTGTAAACAGTGCAAAGACTATGACAATGAGTCAACAGCACAAAAGAAATGACATTTACTTAGCACTGTCACTCCGGCTGCCTCTGAAGAAACTGCCTTCACTGTATATATGTGACTATTTACATGTAACCAACATGGGAACTTTTAGGGGAATCTGACTAATAAGAAATCCCAATTTTCAAGAGTGGTGGTGTCAATAAACGCTCTGTGGCCAGTGTAAAAGAAAATCCCTTGCAGTTGTGGACATTTCTGTTCCTGTCCAGATAACAAAGAAATACTGGGAGAAATGGTATCTGCCCCAGAACTAATGTTTTTTAAGGTACTAAAAAGAAGTTGATGTATGTCCCAAGTTTTGATGAAATTGTATTTGTAAAGAAATTTTGTAGCACAAGTATTGTCATACAATGTTCAAAACCCCAGCCAATGATCAGCAGTTGGTACGAAGAAACCTTTGACATTTTGTAAAAGGCCATTCTTGGGAGTTTTTTTGGTGTGTTTTGTTTTTTTAAGCAAATATTCAAGATACTACCTTTTTGGAAGGAGATACCTTGGGTTTAGAGGATTTTTTAAATGGCAGTAGATGGTTGTACATTAATGACTAAAATTTATTGTACCTCACAGGTTAAGTCTCACATTACGCCAGTTCTGGGACTTCATTTTTTTTTAAAGTATTAATCAAATGCAATGCAATTCACCTAAGCCAAACCCTTCTCTGTGTACCCGATACAAGTAGTTGTCAGAATTCTAGAACGGGAGCAGGAGGAGGAACCTCAGGCATCACCACTGCAACCCATTTCTCATTTGACAGGTGACAGGTGACCCCTACGCTTCTACATTTTGTAAAAACAGTGTCGTGCTTTTTGAACACTCCAAATAGGCCAAGCCAAGGCTCCCTAGCAAGTGTTTCAGGGAGGTTTTAACTTCACAGAAACTACTGTTACTTAAAATGGGTTTCCGTAAACTTCGTTTTCACCCTTATCCAATAATCCAATAGGGATTTTTAAAAAGCAAGCTCTTCAGGCTCCAGTTTTAAATAAAAACCTTTATTTGTAACGACATCCAAAACGGTCAGCAAAGCAGTCGCAGCTCACCACTCCCCAACTCGTAAGTCACCTCACTCCTGTGGTTTCGATTCTTTGCAGGGTAAAGAAACGATTTCAACTGTTTTAAAGCAACACTTAATGTAAACTGGATTGAAATTGAATTTATTCTCAATACTATAAGTCAATTCCTGAGAATGTAAATATTGCTCTCAGAATGACAATTCCATATATTAGAGAAAGAGAAAAGGGAAGAAAGAAAAAGCAAACACCCTGCTCATTATTAAATAGTGTGCCTTAGAGATGAAAACTCTTGTTCCTTTGCAACAGGGGAAAAATTTCATCTATCCTAGAGGTTTTGCTCCTATGAATCTACTTGTGAACAAAACTCGTGGTTTCTGCAAATAACAAGGGAACTGGACAGGCATACGAGTAACTGGCAATCCATTCTGCTTACTTTCCAGCTGCACCTACCTCTGGATCAAAGGACTTCTAGGACATCATGCCAATTATCTCCTGTAACACTCTACCCCTAATATACCCCCAACTCATCTTAGAGATTAAATACTGATAAACTAGTATTGTTTTATTGATATTTACACCTTTCCATCCAGATGCACAATTTAGAAAAGTGGCATCATGATATGAACATTAACAATGCAACTTCTATTTTTTTAAAGGAAGAAACACTTATCTCCTTTATATCATTTTGATCTTTATAAAATATACTTCTTATTTATATATCTTTGGATTGAGCAAAAAAGTAGGTACTGGAAATATCCCACATTCTAAATATGAAAAGATTACATATACTGTTCACCCAACAGATACCAAGGTTTTAAAAATGGGGCGTAGAGGGTTATGATAGGTAGGCAGCGGGAATACAAAGAGAATTATCCCAAAAAGATAAAAGGACAATAAAGGTAAAAACAACAAATTATCTCAAAGACTGCAACTATTAAAAGAAAATCAAAATCTTGAATTTGCACCAATAAAACGAAGTAGAAAATATAAAAACTTATAAACATTTTTCCCCATATAAAAAGGGAGTGCTGCCTTCCAGTTAGCCTGTTGCCAGGACTGAGAAAAGAATCACAAAACTTGTATTTTTTTTGTTTTGTTTTAATAATTTTTAAAAGTCAGGAAAGGTAAGAGCACCACTCTATTTCTCCCCACACAACTTAAACAAGGAAGGTTCAGACATAGCCGACACACTGGGTTGAAAAAGACAGAGACTCCTGTTCAGCTGTGCCTCTGTCTCTGAACAGCAGAATATGTTATCTGACAAGTACAGGCCATCACAATGGAAGTTTTTGGATTTACAATCTTAGATTTATTTTGAACCTGGTGAGAGGAGGAAAGGAAAGAAGGGCAAACTCATAATTGTCTATACGATTACAAAAATAAAATCCACTCTAGTGGTGGTTCTGGAAATATAAGGTTTTACTTATTAATAAACATATCAAAGAAATTAAATGATCTTACCTTCAGAGACATCTAGAAAGAGTAGCTAAACATGGGTGAAATTTAAAAAAAATTAACTGGCTCTCAGTTATTGCTAGAAAATGACAACAGGACTAGCAGACATTTGAAACTCATAGCCCAAAAAGCAATTTCATTCAACTCTTTGAACCTAAAATGGTAACCCAGATAAAGGGAATTAAACTTGATTTTTCCCCCATTCCCAACTGACTAGAACAGGTGTCAAGGAGAGGCAACAGCAAAAAGTAGCAGGGGACAAAAGAAGGAGGGGGTACAAAGGCGCTCAGACTGTGGCTCTGAATTGCAGAAAAACTGCTGTTCTGGGTATTGAGCTCCTTAAGAAATAATGACACTACTCTAATTCACAGGGACACAGCGAAAGCATCACATTAGCAGAATGAGGGGAAAGCTGAGTGACACCAGAAACCACACACCAAGGGTCCTACTCCTGAGATCTCAGTGTGGGATTCAGGTTTTAGCAACCAAAATTTTAGAATACTCTTAAAATGGATGAAAAGGCAACATACTCAATTTAAAAATGAAAACAAAAAGCATGATTTGCTAGTATTTAATTTATGGGTTCCTTAAAATCCAAAAGATTCTTTTTAAATCAAATTACTTGATTTTTTAAAAAAATTCCTGATTTTCTTTTTTAAGTTTATTTCTATATATCTCTTCTTTCCCCTAAAATTAACAAAGTGCTTAGTTCTGGTAGAGGAATTAAAAAAAAAAAAATTAAAATGCCTACATCTAAACAGATAATCTCTTTAAAAAGCATTTAGATTAAGAGATTGAAAAGGATGAGATACCTAAAGCTGGGGGTGTGGGGGTTAGCCATGGACCACTGTCCCTTCCCCAAGCCATGAAATTCAGGGGATGTCTTCTGTTTGTAGCCTCACCACGCTGAGCTTACTGAAATCAACAATGTTAAATATTTAGCTTCACAAACTCTGTAAAAATGAGTTGTTGTGACCTACAAAAAAAGGTATATACATATTTTACATAATACAATATCTTAAAGGTCATATTTACAAAAAAAAAATCTATTCACAGAAACACTGCAAAATTCTGATTCAGAATGCAGTACCTGGCCTTGGGTTTTCAGGAGTTTATTTTCAAAAAGCATTATTGCTCTACCATATAGGCAAAGGGTGACACCAGTACTTAAAAAAAAAAAAAAAAAAAAAAAACACAGCTTTTGTCCAACAGATTAGTGTAGACAAAAACCAGGAATGTGTTTTATCATTCCTCAAGACCTCAAGAATATTGCATTTATCCATTACTTCTTAAATAAAGTGCACTCAAGCTGCACATTAGCATGTGAAAAATTTGCTACTGCTGCAATTAAATACTGTCATCTCATTTTCCCTTCTGCAAAGCCATTTGAAATCAACAATTCCTGGAAGTGAAGTATTACAGGACATTAGAGGCAAATGAAAATCTTCATTAGTCGAAAGCCTAGGACAACAAAGAATGGGGACAGAGCAACTCAACACCATCAGTAATGGATAAGAATTCAGAAATTCCAATTCTACCAGACAAGGGGTCAACACAGAACTACTTGGTAGTGACAAAAACACTTGAAAACTGGGACTATGTTCTTTGTCCAATACTGCAACTAGAGAAACCAGATGTTCTAATTTCCCTTGATTTCTCCAATGTTCTCTGCCGCCACCACCCCCCACCACCACCACCAAATTTATGTGAAAGACTTTGGCTAGTAAGGCAGAAAAAAGTGTCACAGGAAAGTTTTGTGATCAGTAACACTCCATATCTCCAGCCAGAATCACATCCCTAGGGGGCGGAATGCCAAAAATATTTGTTTTGAATACCATGATACACAGGAGGAGAAGGGAAAAAAACAGGTAGATATTGCGCTTCAGCTTAAAATCCAGTCCTGCTCAAATGACATCACGTAGAATACCCTTAGCAGAGATCAAAGCTGGTGCTTTCTTCAAAGTGGGATGCCTACAACAGTGATTCTTTTCCTTCCCAATAATCCTAGTGCAGTGTCATTTGTACAGTGATTTCCTTAGAGGTCCTCCTGGTGCAGAGATGTCAGCAGTATTTCTGTTAGCAACCAAAAAAAAAAAAAAACATGAGTAAAACATGTGCGTGCACAACAAAGAATCCCTATGTCTACATTCCTGGCTTACAACGTGGCTCTGGTTGACTATTCAGATTCCTCAGATCTTCTAATTACCAAAAGTATCAGCCCAATGCTTTCAAACCTAAAGTTTTTTTCATTATTATATTTTTAAGTTATACATCCAAGTTAAAATCTACCTAGGACATTTAGATTACAGCTGAGGCTTTGGTTCTCTCCAGAGAACAAGAAAAATGTTTGAAAAAGTAAGCAATAGACCCCCATACCTGATCAGGACCCATGGGCATGCCAGACATGGGCATGGAGTTCATGTTCATCTGTCCCATGTGAGCACTGCTGCCATTCATGTGCACCATGCTATATACTGCAGGATTCCCCTGGTGGGCAAACTGCTGCTGGGAAAAGGAGCTGTAAAGAAGGTGTAATATTACCTCCAGAGTCTTTGAGGACATGCGCAGAGACTATAGCGATTTTGTCAAATGTTGTTGCACTTACACAGGGAACATCAGAGAGAAAACTCCCCGACAGCCTGCAATCCATTTTTAATAGCTGTCTCTACTCAACACCCTAATGGATATGTACATGGTACGAAAGACTCTCAAAATGGACAAGCCAAATAACATATCTTCTAGTATGAAGCCAGCCTTTTCCTCTCTCCATCTAAACAAGCTTGGCTGGAAAACGCAGAGATTAATTTCCTGGACTTCTGATACTAGGATACGAATGACTAAAAAGCCACTGTTCTTTACCTGTTCCTGGCCAAGTTTCCTGACGGCCAGCCCTTCATGTCTGAGGGCTGATACATGGGCGCAGCCTGAGGGTGCTGCACCATGGGGTTCTGGGAGGGGCCCATTCTTGAAGACATCATTGTGTTAGGAGGACTAGACACTCGACCGAAGGCTGGATCTGGTGGTTGCCCCATTCCTTACAAAAATAAAGAAAAAGAAGAGAGAACAATGTTCAATTGCCACCTCCTTAGAATATCAGCTTTCTGTAGTAACTTTATTTAAGTAGGAAGGTGGTAACTATAAGACAAAGTGCTAAAAGACGCTGCCTCCCAGTTACCCTTGATTCTAACCAAGATGATGACTAGAGCCAGCTTACTACAGAAAGGCACACTTTCTAGGTCTCTTAAAGGTAAGTTGCTTCAATGGGCTTTCTGTGTAAAAAGGACTCCATATCACTCTATTCACATCACTGTCCCTCTTTAGAGGGCAGGAGTTATTGTCCCAAAAAGCAGGACTGCATCCTGAAATGTAAGCTCTCCAACAGACACCTCTACCGCAAACCTCTCAAAGGCTGAAATGAACAGATATCTGCATCACCATAATTAATGGCAAATCCAAGTTACCAAGAACTTAAAAAGCCCACACATTGCATTTCTCTCACTGACGTGACCAAGCGTTCAGCGATTACAGGGTTCTGTTATATACTAAGAGAACCCTTTGAGAAGGGGAGGGGGAGAACTTTGTAGTCAGTCTTTCATCCAAACTAACAGGTATGGGGCTGAAAAAACAAGACCTGAAAAAATATTCAACTATTATGATAGACTATATCTGCCTCAACTACCTGTGTATGGCAGCAGACATTTTTGTTCTTAATTTCATTTTTCTTGTAAAGTAGTAAGAGGGAGTATAGTATTTTTGTTTTCCATGTGTAAAAGATATAGTGAGGCCTATGTCCTTAGTAATGTTACTTTGGAAACCCTATTTTCACTGTCAAATTTACCATAACTTGGAGGATATGGGAACTGCTGTGGGGGAGCCTGTGGCATTGCAGGTCCGGCCAAAACCCCATCCATGCTGGGAGAAGCAGTCACGTTAGGGGGTGGGCTGAAGGCCTGGGTCGTCTGCTGCTGCTGCTGCTGCTGTTGCTGCTGCTGTTGCTGCTGCTGTTGCTGCATCATCATCGCCACCCTCTGCTGTCGGAAGTGATGGCTCAGCAGCTCTCTGCTGCGTTGGGCAACCATCTGGGCATTAAGAAAACCCTGCTAATACCCAAGAAAGACCGCAATTACACACATATAGGGAGAACCTGCCTGTATCACATATACAGTACCCCCACAATGCATTAGTTATCAAAGAGGAAAAAAAATACCCAGTGCCTTTCTTTACAATGAAGGCAAAGAGAAAACGCACAATTCTTTATGATAAAAGCTTTCTGGCTACGGGGGTAAAAAAGTGTGTGGGGGGTGCTAAAGAAAAGGGGCCTGGAAATTATTTGTGGCTAGGAGACAAAAGACAACAAGTCGTTGAGCTAGAAACATTCCTCAAAGTGAAAAACTTTAGGGGTATGATCTAAGGACAAACTTTTCAGAACTATGAAATAAAACCGTAAGAAAAAGAGGAGAATTCAGAGTGAGTTGGGGCAGTGGGGAGATGGAACAAGAAGGGAAGGCCACCCAAAAAAGATGAGGTTATATTCACAGAGCCACCTCAGAAGGTCCTATAGTCTTTCTAAACCTTCCAAAAGGACAGGTGGGGCAAGGAGAAGCTGAAGTTTTAGGAGGTGACATAATCAAAGCACTAACAAGGAAGTTGATGTGGGCTCTACCAGTTGGGGAAGATCAGAAGCAAACTTTTATCATCTATTTGGAGGGCATCCTAGCTCAGCTTACACAAGATGTATATCAAGAAAATATAAATTGCAGTACTTCCAAGTAGCGAAAGACAGTGAAATTGGGCATTTCACAGTTTTCTTGTTTTTAAACAATTATAAACAATATTTTGAACCACAGAAGACTGTTGTACGGTCACCTGCCTCCAGCACATTAAGCAAATATCTTTTTTTTTTTTTTTTTGAGACAGCGTCTCGCTTTGTTGCCCAGGCTAGAGTGAGTGCCATGGCGTCAGCCTAGCTCACAGCAACCTCAAACTCCTGGGCTCAAGCAATCCTGCTGCCTCAGCCTCCCGAGTAGCTGGGACTACAGGCATGAGCCACCATGCCCAGCTAATTTTTTACATAGATATATCAGTTGGCCAATTAATTTCTTTCTATTTATAGTAGAGACGGGGTCTCGCTCTTGCTCAGGCTGGTTTTGAACTCCTGACCTTGAGCAATCCGCCCGCCTCGGCCTCCCAAGAGCTAGGATTACAGGCGTGAGCCACTGCGCCCGGCCAAGCAAATATCTTAATACTGACTGTCTCTACCACTGGCTGGAGGCAGGGAGGAGAGTTTTAATATCCTCTCCCACTTCGGGAACCAGGTCATCTCTGAGGCTGTCACTGAGAATAGGATTATGTATTATTTATTTTCTTCTTTATATTTATAATTTCAAAACTTTACCCAGTGAGCATGTGGTTTCATAATCCAGGAACAAAGAAACATTTACAGATTTATTATTTTAAATTCCTAAAAAGCCCGTGATAGCTGTTCTCACAACATAGCAACTGAAGGAAAAGGAAATTCATTTAAAAAACACCAATCAGTGGTTTAATGAAGGAACCCCAGCCTCCCCTGATTCCTCCCAGTCACCAGCAAGAGAGAAGGAAGAAGAAAAAAAGCGTGATGGGCCAGTTTCTTACACAAGAAATTCAGAATTACTTTTTTTCATTCAACAAACATTGACTGAGAGCCAACCACAGACCAAGGCCTGTGCTGGGGACAACACATGCTCCTCACCTGGGAGCTCACCTGGGGCTGCATCATGGGCCTCATCACTGCGGCACCACCGGTGGTAGGGTTTTCCATTTTCATTTCAAGTGCCTGCCGGCTCTGATTCAAAAACTGAAGTGACACACGTTGGTTAGAATGCAAGTAGAGAGTGTTAATGTGCCCAAGACAGCTTTCCAAACCTCAGCACCACCTAATGAGGTCATGATGATATCTCCAAACTCATTAACCTGCTTAAGTCGCATCTAAACTGAACTGGTCCACTTTCACACTGCAGGAAGGTCAGTGCTGAGAAGCTCTTGGCTACCATATGAAGCTCTACTGTCTGGCGCTGGGAGGAATAGTAAAAGTACAATTTTGCAGCTTAAAGAAATATCTTCAATGGGAACTCAAGGGATATATAAAGTCAAGTTTTCTCTGGGATTATTCAGGCACTTGGTGAAATAGCTTTAATGTGATCAGAGTGATACTGAATGACTACCTCCTCTGTTACCTTTCTGTAAGTAACTTTTAGTGGAAAAGAAATGGTAAAAAGATGGACACATTAATACAGCTTTCCTGAGCACCTAGACTGACTTTTAGGAATATTTATGCACTAGAGAGTCTCTGGCTCATTTAATTCCACCACATTTAATAACTCAGCATGCTCAAGACACAAACAACATAAATAAATTTTAAAACTTTTGCTGGGATTAAGGAAACAATGGGAAAAATAGAAGTCTTATCTTGGAATCGTAAGAGAACTTCAGTTTTATAAAACATCTAGAAAGCAGAGGATCCATAAAAAATGCTAAGATCAAGAAAGTTTAAGTATTTGGTTATTATTATTAAAGACTTAAAAAAAAACAGGCCAGGCGCAGTGGCTGTAATCCTGTAATCCTAGCTCTCTGGGAGGCCAAGGCGGGAGGATCGCTCAAGGTCAGGAGTTTAAAACCAGCCTGAGCAAGAGGGAGATCCTGTCTCTACTAAAATAAAAAGAAATGAATTGGCCAACTAAAAATATATAGAAAAAAAATTAGCTGGGCATGGTGGCGCATGCCTGTAGTCCCAGCTACTCGGGAGGCTGAGGCAGGAGGATCACTTGAGCCCAGGAATTTGAAGTTGCTGTGAGCTGGGCTGACGCCACTGCACTCTTGCCCGGGCAACAGAGTGAGATTCTGTCTCAAAAAAAAAAAAAAAAAAAAAAAAAAAAAAACTTTTAAAAAACAAAAATTATCTACCTTTAAGACTACAAAGTCATCAGAAAAATGTTTTTTCACAAGAGCAATCCTTTCTGACATTTTTTACTTTTTAACTTGTACAATGGCATATTCTTATAGAAAGGTGTCTGATTCTAGCACAACCACTCCTTAACAAGGAGCTATCTGTACAAATAAAATCTTAACACAGAAGTAAAAACAAAAGGAATTTCTTTACTTGACGAGGGATGGAGAGCCAATGGTAAGAACACTGAGGGACGTACCCTCAAAACAAATTAAGGAAGGAGAGGCTAAAGGAAAAGCTACTTTGGGACCAAAGCAGAACATGTGACTGATTACCTGCTGGCCCTGCAGCCTTTGCTGAAGCTGCATTCTAAGTTGCTTGGGGGTGTTTGTCCGAGGCCTCATGACGTTGGCCCTAGGGTGCATTCCTTGAAGGGGAAAATTGCCTTGCTGGTTCATCTGATTCATCATAGAGTTAAAAGATGGTGATTGTCCCTGAAGATTAAAGCCTCCTTGCATTGGAGGCCCCTGTGCTGGGTAGGTTTGTCCATATAATGCTGCCTTCTGATCCATCATTACTGCTGCTTCTTGGCCTTGGAAAGCATCCTGTTTGGGCTCCAAAGCCTGTCCCTTAAACATCAAACACATAAATGAACAGTTAAGTATATCTATAAAAGCAACAGAAATCATATGCTCTAATGAAGATGAAAAATAGTGAATATATGTGAACAATGTTGTAGAATTCCAAAAGCAAAATGAAGCTTATTGTCTAAACTTCCATCTGAACACATACTATACGTCCTCTGTTCCCTGAGACCACAAACTACACCCCATCTGTTCACGGCTGTGTCCTACAGCCTTGCAGACTCACACACAAGACACTAAAATGTTTTCTGAGCTAAGTATCTATAATGCATTAAATACCTAGAGAAATATTACTTGTTCTAGACCAGATTTCTGTACCAATTAACATGGATCTCCCAAGCCAAGTATAAAATAAATTAAAAACACTGTATTCAGTGAATTCTCAGGTAATTTGTGAAGAATGTTTTTGAAAGTAGCAAGAGGTGATTTTGGAAGAGAGGTAAAGCAACAAATGCTCACACCCCCTAGAGTGTATTCACCAGGTGAACAAACCCTAAAGGTGGTCACCCACCACTATTCACACATAGAGGAAGAAAAGAAAACCCACTCATTCAACAAGTATTTATTAAATCTTGTTATGTGCCAGACATCACTTCTCTACATGCTAAGGATATATACAAAATAACATCTAGTAGGTGACAAAGAAGTAAAAATAAATATTCTTCTTAAGAGACAGATCTCACTCTGTCACCCAGCCCAGAATGCAAGTGGCACAATCACAGCTCACTGCAACCTCAAAGTCCTGCACTCAAGGGATTCTTCCACCTCACTTTCCCAAAGTGCTGGGATTGGATGTGAGGGCAATCTGGCTGCGACATCTGTCACCCCATTGATCGCCAGGGTTGATTCGGCTGATCTGGCTGGCTAGGCGGGTGTCCCCTTCCTCCCTCACCGCTCCACGAGCCTCCCTCTCAAAGCTGCGCGCTCGGTCGAAGAGGACGACCTTCCCCGCTAGAGGAGGACCGGTCTTCGGGTTCCGTCAAGGGTATACGAGTAGCTGCGCTCCCCTGCTAGAACCTCCAAACAAGCTCTCAAAGTGCTGGGATTACAAGCATGAGCCACTGCACCCAGCCAGAAAAAGAAGTAAAAATAAATGTTCTGATGGAGGAAAATGCCTGCCACGCTAAGACAAGAGCAGCCTGTCAGGTACTGCATTCACCTTTATCTTTTCATCCGTGGGCATGGAATGGCAAGCACTCAGTCAAAATCCTTGACAAGTCTCACCTTAAAGCATCCCTCACCCCACTGTATTTTCTGACACCTCTCATTTATTTTTATTTATACACACACGCACACACACATATCTATACACATAAACACACACATACTCATATATACATATAAGTAGGTATATTTCATATACATGAAATAAAGCATCTCCCTATTGCTATATTTCCTTATAATTATTTATGAGAAGGTAGCTTTTGTTTTGATTTTGTTTTTGAGACAGTCTCACTCTGTTGCCTGGGCTAGAGTGCTGTGGCATCAGCCTAGCTCACAGCAACCTCACACTCCTGAGCTCAAGCGATCCTCCCACCTCAGCCTCCCAGAGTGCTAGGATGAGAAGGTAAGTTTTTGTTTGTTTGTTTGTTTGTTTTGAGACAGAGTCTCGCTGTATTGCCTGGGCTAAAGTGCCCTGGCGTCAGCCTAGCTCACAGCAACCTCAAACTCCTGGGCTCAAGCAATCCTTCTGCCTCAGCCTCCTGAGTAGCTGGGACTACAGGCATGCGCCACTATGCCCAGCTATTTTTCCTATATACTTTTAGTTGTCCAGCTAATTGCTTTCTATTTTAAGTAGAGACAGGGTCTCACTCTTGCTCAGACTGATGGTCTTGAACCCCTGACCTTGAGCAATCCTCCCACCTCGACCTCCCAGAGTGTTAGGATTACAGGCATGAGTCATCATGCCCAGCTGAGTAGGTAGTTTTTAATAGTCTAAAAAGACAAGGAAATGAACATGGTATTATATAAGGTAAATTTGAGGGCATGTAATTTGGGAAGAAATTATTTTATGAAAATGACCCAAGAGTTGCTCTGTTTTTCCTTCTCTCGCCAGTATTTAACTTCCACGGTGCATGGTACTTTCTTTTGATTTTTACTCTCTCTATATAGATACTTTCTTTTACACATCTCTCTCTCTCTCTCTGTCTGTCTGTCTGTCTCTCTCTCTCTCTCCCCCCCCTTAGGTGCTCTCATCCACTGGTGGTAACTATCAAATTTTTGTCTGTACCCCAATATCTCTGAACTCTTAATTTTGCTGATGGAAATAACTACTTAACATCTTTACCTGGATGTCTCAGGGATGACAAACTTAACATGCAGAAAACAGACGTTGCAATTCCCAACAGCCCTTCCCCCAAAAAAGCCTTGTTCTCCAATCTGCCCTATATCACAATGCAGTCAGCCCTCCATATCCATGGGTTCTGCATCCATGGATTCAATCAACTGGGGATCAAAATTATCCTGGGGGAAAAAGGGCAGTTTCACCTGTACTGAATATAGAGACTTTTTTTTTTGTCATTACTCTCTAAACAATACAGTATGACAACTATTACACAGCATTTACATTATATTAGGCATTATAAGTAATCTAGAAATGATTTAAAGTATATGGGAGGATGTGAATAGGTTATATGCAAACACCATACCATTTTACATAAGGGACTTGAGCATCCTCGGACTTTGGTATCCTCAGGGGTCCTGGAATCAATCCTCTACAGATACCCAGGGATGACTGTACATGGCAACACCACCACCACTCCAGAGGTAAAGCCAGCAATCTTGATTCTTCACATTCTTCCTTTCCAAGCACGTGCACACGGTCTACCAAAGTCCTGTCAGTTTTTCCACCAGGGGCATGCTGTGTGTCCTTCCCTTCTTCCCATGACATCTACCAAACTCTTGTCAAAACTGAAATCTATGCTTCTACTTTGTCCCATCATACCAACTCCCTCCTCCGGACAGCAACTGGAGATTGGAGATATCTTTATACCAACTCCCTTCTCCAGATAGCAACTGGACATAGTTTTTTTAAGAGACAAGGTCTTGCTCTGTCATGCAGGCTAGAGTGCAGTGGCATTATCATAGTTCACAGCAACCTCAAACTCCTGGGCTCAAATGATCCTCCCACCTCAGCCTCCCCAGTAGCTGGGACTACAGGTGCATACCACCACACCCAGCAGAAGATATCTTTTAATGAAGCAAATCGTACTTTTAAGTGAAATATGGCAGATTATCGTGTATGTTTACCTCCATTCACTTGCTACCCCCACATACACTAAAATGCCATTAAAGAATTTCTCCAGGCCAGGCGCTGTGGCTCACGCCTGTAATCCTAGCACTCTGGGAGGCCGAGGCGGGCAGACTGCTCCAGGTCAGGAGTTCGAAACAAGCCTGAGCAAGAGCAAGACCCCATCTCTACTATAAATACAAAGAAATTAATTGGCCAACTAATATATATGGAAAAATTAGCCAGGCATGGTGGTGCATGCCTGTAGTCCCAGCTACTCGGGAGGCTAAGGCAGCAGGATTGCTTGAGCCTAGGAGTTTGAGGTTGCTGTGAGCTAGGCCGACGCCACGGCACTCACTCTAGCCTGGGCAACAAAGCAAGTCTCTGTCTCAAAAAAAAAAGAATTTATCCACAAAACAATAAAAATAAGGAAGGGAACAAGATCAAATGTTTCAATAAATATTTGGAAGACAGAAAGTGAATGGCGTAGGAACCAACTCAACAGAGCAGAGAAATTGAGACCTATGTGCCTGCAAAGGAAAAATACATATGAAAAGTGAGCAAATGTATCCCACAGAACTAATGAGAGTCTCTGCTGGGGCTGGTAGAGGATCAGGGTACAGTGCTGAAACAGGATTGGTTAGGAGTCTGAGTACAGAGCAGGGGGTCAACCATCTCACTGCTTGCTCCCTGACCCCTCAAATGGCTATACCTTCCACCTAACCCCGCAAAGGGCCTGGGTTCAGGGACACCAAGCAGAAGAGAGGAGAGGAATGAGGCACAGGCTAGAAATGGGAAATTTTATATTTTACATATTATAATTCCCAATGAAACTTTGTATTTTATAATTTTATATCCTACACTATGTGATCATCCACTTGCCTCTCCAGCCCAGCTCCCAAAATGTAACTAGGTCATAAAAGATTGCCAGGCAATATTTTGGAGGCTTCTCTCCAGGAAAAAAGTATACAGTTCTGGGGGGGTAGGAGGGGGGATGGTAAAGAACTCTACATGTTGAAATTTGACAAGTCCTGAAATAAGCAGCTCCCCACCTAATCACCCACAGTAAAGACAACTGATCCTGCTCACATCTGCAGAGCTTGAAATCGGCTTTTTAATGTAGCATTCTTTACATATAAAAACAATCAAGGATCACCAGATACTTGATAAAAGCTTCCAATATGAAAGTGACTCAAAAGAAATACAGAATCAATGTTACGCCCAACATGTCGACAGAAATCCCAAAAAGAGGCCGGGCGCGGTGGTTCACGCCTATAATCCTAGCACTCTGGGAGGCCGAGGCGGGCGGATTGCTCGAGGTCAGGAGTTCAAAACCAGCCTGAGCAAGAGCGAGACTCCATCTCTACTATAAATAAAAAGAAATGAATTGGCCAACTAACATATATAGAAAAAATTAGCCAGGCATGGTAGCACATGCCTGTAGTCCCAGCTACTCAGGAGGCTGAGGCAGCAGGATCGCTTGAGCCCAGAAGTTTGAGGTTGCTGTAAGCTAGGCTGATGCCACAGCACTCACTCTAGCCTGGGCAACAAAGTGAGACTCTGTCTCAAAAAAAAAAAAAAAAAAAAAAAAAAGAAAGAAAAGAAAAGAAAAGAAAAAGAAATCCCCAAAAGAAAGGCCTGGAAAAAAAATGGCAGAGATGAAATTATTAAAGAAATTTTACCCCAAAATGCCCCCAAACCAAAGTGAATATCTATGTATCTAGTACACTGCAGAATGAATGAAACAAGACCCACAACAAGATACAGCATCATAAAATTTCAGAGATAATAACTTCCTAAATAATTTCGAAGAGAATAAATGGTTCATGTGCAGAAGAACAGAAATCAAAACAAAATACGACTCAATAGCAACACTGGATGCCAGAGGAAATCTTTTAAAATTCTAAGAGGAAATTCTTTCAACCTAGAATTTAATACATACGCCAGACATGCAGGAGGGTGGAATAAAGATATTTTCAGACACACAAGGACCACAAAACATTATATCTCATGCAGTGGAGATAGAGAAGTTAATATAATTTGTGCTTCAGCAAAACAAAGAGTAAGTCAAGAAAGAAGATGACTTAAGATTCAAGAAACTAGGGGATTCGACATAGGAGAATAGTGACAATTATTAATTTCTAGACCTGCCTCACAAGGACAGAGTTAAACAGAGAGAACAATAGGAGAGAGGGAAGGAATTGATAGATCATTTAATGTACCTGAATATGTGAAGAAAAAAATGAGAAACTATACTTTCATCGAGTATCTCGGGAAAATTAGCAGTAAGTACATAGAAATAAAGCAAATAAAGAGAAGGCAATTACTGACTTAAAAAATATACATATACACATTATATATGTACATACACATATATGTGCTACACTTGGCTAAGCAGTAAGACAAAAATAATCTAAATATTAACTACCTAACTACAATGAAAGATATAATTATACCAGGGACATACAGAGAGAGCACAAGCCTGTGTGTAAGGTATACATGTGAGTGTGTATACTGGGGGGAGGGGAGGATACAACATATCCACAATTTCTTATCTAAAATTTCTAAGTACAGAAAAAGCTTTTCATTAGCAGCAAAAACCTGACCTGAACTTACACGAAGCAATACATCTCTCTATATCATCACAATCAGTATGACTACTTACTTTGCTGTAGAAGTATTAGCGTATTTGATCACAGGCTAATGCCCAAAACTATACCATTGATCAAACCAGGGGTATCATGGAATATATGGTACATATGTACCATGCTACCTTTCTAGACTCAAAAAAATTCCTGATTTCCAAAGCATTTCTTACCCCAAAGTTCTCAGATAAGGGACTATGCATGGGTAATCAATTATCATACCAAGAAGGCAACGAATATAGACTGAAGTTAATAAAGAAATAGCTGCATAAGCATGTTACTTAGAAATATCACCAAAATAAAGAGTTTTACTACCTCAGAGTGGGACAAGTGACTGGTTCTTCAATAAAGATACTTCCATATCATTTTAAGTTACAAACATGATTGCTTTGCTAAAAATAAAAATTACAACAAAAAAGGAAAACAGTCTCATCACTAAATTCCTAAAATTCTTCCATGGCTTCCTAATATAACAGAAATTCTAGACTCCTTAAGATGGCTTTGTGGACCCTTGCCTCCACTTACCTCTCTGCTATCATTTTGTATCACTCTCCCTCCGCTCTCCATGACTTTCAGTCATTTCCTAGAACCCCGAAGTTCTTTACATAAGTCCTTTTCTAAGGACTTTTGAGTTTGCTGTACCTCTTCTGGAACATTCTTCCCTAGCTATTTGCATAGCTAGCTCCTTCTCATCCTTTTGGTGTCATCTCCCCCAAAAAGAGCTTTCTTGAACATTCAAGTTAAGTCCCCAGTTATTCTTTATCTCATCATCCTGGATTTCAAAACATAAACCTTTTTAAACTAAAAACAAGCCCCATCAAAATGAAAACAGGGAAAAAAAACTATCTGCAGTATATTAGTATCTGCACTCTAGCTCAGGCAACAGAGCAAGTTAATAGTCATCTTTGGAACCGCAACCCAAACATGACGATTTTAGAGAAGAATTTGGATAACCAAATGGGGTTGGGGTTATTTGGATAACCCCACCACCACTGCCACATAAAGAACAGGTTGCCCTTTCAGAAACAGTCTCAGAGTACCCGATGCCTTTCTTCCTCTTGCCTCTATTACACTGTATCTACTTCTCATTGGTTCCCTGCCTGGCCTCTGCCTTGTCCAGAGGTATGTGAGATTTGAGAGAGGGAACTAATTTGCTCACTATTCTCCCTCACCCTCCAACAGAAAACTGATTGGCATACAGAAGACAAATATTTGAATTAAATAACAACAACAAAATCGATAACCAAATATACATAAAGTACTTTTACAAGTCAACAAAACTCATCAGAAAACTATAAAAATGCATATAAATGGCCAATAAGCACAAAAGTTGTTCAATCTTGCAAATAAAAGAAATATAATCTAAAACTTTTTAGTTTTTTTGCTGATCAGATTGGCAAAGATTCTTTAAAATAATCATGCTCAGTATTTGTTTAATCACTTGCTCATTCACACTGTGTATGTTCTTTCATCAATTTGAGCTATGCCAACACAGCACCGGTGAAGGTATGAGGAATATCACACTCTTGTGGAAAAGTAGCTAGTGTAATTTTTCAGGAAAAACCACCTGAATATAAGTAGCAAAATCTTTAAAATATCCACACACTCTAACCCACTAATCCTTTCTTTTGCATTGTATTAATATCTAAGGAAACAGAATAAGTGAGACATGAGTAACTAACAGAATTGTTAGTAAAAAAAATATTGGCAAGGTGTGGTGGCTGACTCCTGTAATCCTAGCACTCTGGGAGGCCAAGGCAGGAGGATCACTTGAGCTCAAGAGTTCAAGACCAGCCTGGGCAAGAATGAGACACCGTCTCTACTAAAAATAGAAAAAAATTAGCTGGGCATAGTGGTATGTGCCTGTAGTCCCAGCTACTAGGGAGACTGAGGCAGGAGGATCACTCGAGCCTAGGAGTTTGAGGTTGCTGTGAGCCAACCTGATGCCACGGCACTCTAGCTCAGGCAACAGAGCAAGACTGTCTCAAAAAATAATAATAATAAATATTGAGGAACAATTTATATTTTCATCAGTAAAAGACTGGTAAAATACATTGTGTTCAATATAATAATATTTGGCCATTAAAATTAAAGATATATATTGAATATATAAAGATGACTGATGATAATAACTTTCACAAACTAAAACTGGTTACAAGAATGTTTTAAAGTCAATTACCACTTTAAAAAAAATATACAGTCAGGGGGGGAAATGGGCATTTATTGAAACCTTAAAATCTGTACCCCCATAATATGCCAAAATAAAAAATATATATATACAGTCAAATATTTGCACATATACTTTTTTTTTTTGGAGACAGGCTCTTGTTCTATTGTTCTTGTTCTGGCTAGAGTGCAGAGGTGTCATCATTTAACTCAATACAACCTCAAACTCCTGGGCTCAAGCCATCCTCCTGCCCCAGAACTCCCAAGTAGCTGAGACTATATAGGTATACACCACCACGCCCAGCTAATTTTCTATTTTTTGTAGAAATGGGGTCTTACTATGTTGCACAGGCTACTTGCATTCCTGGTCTCAAGTGATCCTCCTGTCTGGGTCTACCAAACTTCTAGGATTACAGGCATGAGCCACTGTACCCAGCCTGCACATACACCTTTTTTAAATGTAAAACATTAGTCATGCACCACATAATGACATTTCAGTCAATGATGAACTACATATGACAGTGATTCCATAAGATTATTTTTACTGTACCTTAGTTCTACTTTTAGATATGTTTAGATACACAAATACTTACCATTGTATTACAATTGCCTACAGTACTCAGTAGTAACACACTGTACAGTTTGTAGCCTAGGAGTAATAGGCCACACCTTATAGCCTACATATAAACTAGGCTATACCATCTAGGCACTAGTTCACACAATGACAAAAATTACCCAACAATATGTTTCTCACGACATATCCCCATTACTAAGCGATGCATAATGGTATATACCAAAAACTTAATAATGATTTTCTCTGTGCCAGTATTACAGAAAATTTTAAACTTTTTAATGTACTTTTTGCAATTGTCAAAATTTTAAATAATGACAAGTATTTTATCATCAGGACAAAGCAAGCAATTTCCAGCTTAAATTAAAATTTCAAAAGGCAGTTCAAGCTTTTTGGTCTCTGTGTAACCTTCACACACACCCCCCAGAGTTAGAAACACCTCAGTGCCAGGGTCATATGTCATTGGTACCCCTGGAGGTGTATGTATACAAGGCCCGCTCAGTGTTTCCCATTCACCCTTTAAAAGGTCTATGGCAGTGTTTGCCACACTGCAGTGTAATGCCTTATGTACATGTCGTCTCCACAACAAAGACTGAGAAGCCCCGATGATCTGCTTATTGTTGAATGCACAGACCTATACAGTGCCCCATACACCCTTTAAGTAAAAACAGCCACTACAACATGTGTCTGTTTCAAAAATACAGATATGTGAATGTTGTATTTTCATAAGGCTGGGTATGAGATAGGAACAGGAGATGATGATACTAGGATGTTCTGATTTACCATGGTAAATGAGTTTTGTTTAACAAAAAAGCTTGCCTTCTCGGAGTACACACTGCTGGACTAAGTAGTAGAGAAAGAGTTATAAAAATGAGAACTCTTAACTAACATAAATAAGAAGTAACATTTTACAAAGACAATAGTAGTTTCACTGAATCATTTCTATAGTTGCCTGAAATTTTGACATCTGTATTAAATAGTAGATTGCTGGAAATAATACCACAATCCTAAGTATATTCTCTAAACTTAATACTGGTATCCATGAATGCAGTGATATAATACAAGTACTAGGAAAGATACACATACAGGCATTCTTATACATGACTTGATGAACGTGCACACACACATAAGCACATGGATATATACATGGTCCTACTTCAAGGTTAATGTAACCTACCTGATTTACAAGTTCAGGAATGCCCAAAGCTCTGTCAATTTCTTCCAGTCCTGTGGCATCTGTGTTACTCAGAAGAGTGTGCAGCTGGTCCAATAATGCCCTTTCATCACTCTGGCCTTCCAGGTTAGAAGGTGGCCCAACAAGATCATCCAGGGAATTTCTAAGAATGGGCCTAGAAAGAGACTTGAAATCAATTTCAATGGTGCTTTCTCTCCTTTAACTCATATACTACAAGTACAAACAATAAACTGAGTAGTAGAAAAAAATAAATGGCATCAATTTATATTTAAGCTACACAATTTTAAAGCTTCACTGGGCCATTTTAGACCATTAAATATAGCTGACACCTCCAATCCCACCACAACAATCTAACTGTCAAATCTCAGGCATTTGGAAGATAGCAGAGATTTCGGGAGGAGGGATGGAAAGGATGAGAGAGAGTATTCTTTCAAGACAAGAGCGTGCATGAGTAGTAGTTATATTACTTGAAAATTGGAGAAATCAAAGGAAAAGGAGAAAGGATATAGAAATGTTGAGCTAGGCTGGGTACGGTGGCTCACATCTGTGATCCTAGCACTAAGAGGCCGAAGGTGGGCGGATCGTTTGAGTTAAAGAGTTCGAAACCAGCCTGAGCAAGAGCGAGACCCTGTCTCTACTAAAAATAGAAAGAAATTCCTTGTATAGCTAAAAATATATAGAACAAAATTAGCTGGGCATGGTGGCGTATGCCTGTAGTCCCAGCTACTTGGGAGGCTGAGGCAGGAGGATCGCTTGAGCCCAGGAGTTGGAGGTTGCTGTGAGCTAGGTTGATGCCACGGGACTCCCTCTCCTGTGAATACCACTGCTTGCTGCCTCAGCGTCACTTTTACACACACATTGTCCAAGAAATAACCAGATGGTAACCAAGTAACTCAATTATAGGGAATTTTTCTCATTCTCTTTCAGGTTCATTCCTGTGCTCCAACTCTTTTCTAGATAACCCAAAGCTAAGATTTTCTACAGTCACAAGATACAGCCCCACCTATTTTGAGTCCCGTGAGGACCTTCCATAGACAACATGCCATCTGGCCAGGAACCCGGTTGGTTAGATGCTGCTGCTTGGCCATAGGGATTGATCCCCATTCCCATGGGAATCTCACCATGCCCTGGGGGAACAAAAAGAAAGCATAAATTTTCAAAAGCGCCAACAGCATAAAGTTACTCTGAAACACATATTTTCATTTTTTATGAAGAGGATACTTACTCATTTGAAGCAGCTGCTGCTGCTGCTGCTGTTGCTGCTGCTGCTGCTGCTGCTGCTGCAACATTGGTCTTGCACCCGGTATGCTATTAGACCGAAGAGGCAAGGTAGGCATGGAGCTACCCACTGCAGGTCTGGGTAAAGACACATTATAATCTCCTCCTGGTCTTCCCATGGAGTTTGAATTCATAGGTTCCATTCTGCTGGCCTTCGAGTTTGGCAAGCCCCAGTCTTCTGTAGAAGGAGTCTGGTGCAAAGCCACGTTTCTATTTGGTCCACCTAAAACAGGTAGAAATGATTCCGGACAGGCTCTCAGAGGCCTTTTACACATTATAATGAAATCCTTCTTATATAGGTTACAGCCATTATACATAACATCAGCCTGGACAGAAGAGCACTCTGTCAACATTAGAATAGGGCTGACCAACTGTGGAGACGGTTTCAAAGGCCCCTATTGCCACATGTTCATTATAGGTTAGAAAATATCTTAGACCAAAAAACTCTAAAGAGTTTACAGACAGGGCCGGGCTGAGTGTGTGGCTGACGGATCTGTTCCTGGGTTCCGTCACCGGAGATACAGCAGTGCTGCTACGGCAGAACCACAGTCCACGTCTGTGGCCTCACAGACGAGGCTGCCCTCAATTGCTGCTCCAATGCGGATCACAGTACCAAAGATTCTCTACTGCAGCAGACCATGCTACAAATTAAGGATGCTAAGAAGTCACCGGATTTTTACACTAGAGTTCTTGGAATGACACTACTCCAAAAATTAGATTTTCCTACTATGAAATTTTCACTCTATTTCTTGGCTTATGAGGATAAAAATGACAATCCCCAAAGACAAAGAAGAAAAAGTAGTATAGGAATTCCCCAGAAAAACTACCCTTGAGCATACCTACAATTGGGACACTGGAGATTATGAGACCCAGAGTTACCACAGTGGCAACTCAGACCCTTGAGGATATGGTCACATTGGAGTTGCTGTTCCTGATGTACACGGTGCTTGTAAAAGATCTAAAAGAACTGGGAGTCAACTTTGTGAAGAAACCTCATGATGGGAAAATGAAAGTCCTAGCATTTATTCAACATCCTGATGACTACTGGATTGAAATTTTGAATCCTAACAAAATGGCAACTATTATCTAGTGCTGTGAGAATGCTCCTTTGAGATTTCAGTGAAAACAGATTAAAAGAGAAAAATGTGATTCAAGATATTCAGAGGGCAGAAGCATACAGGACTGATGGATCACTGCTGCAATTCAAATTATTCTTAAATCCATTTCCCTTTCCTATTTCACCAGGGTTTTCTCACCTAACTGTTAAGTCATTATGGTTTGAAAGTAATGCTTTATCTTATATCCTTGAATATAGTTGTGTAACTTTACTTTTTAGTTAATAACTAGAACAATTCCCTTGACAGGCTATATTTATTTGCCTTCTTCTATCTCCTAAATAATACTTCTCTTCAAGTCAAAAAGAAAAAAAGAGTTTATATAAGGAAGGATAAAATAAAGGAAGGATATTAATGGAAGAAATATTATACTAATGTTATTCAAGAACTTATTACTTAAATGAACCAATTACTTAAATGGCTCTAAGTATTTTAAATTTGCTTTTCCCAAAAGAAATTATCATAAATACTAATTAGAAATAACATACCCATATTGGAGCCATAATTTTCTTGACTATCCATCATTCTTGGATTCCCACCCAACATGGGTTGCTTTGTTACCATGGGGAAAGCACTAATATTCTTTACTGGAGGACTGGAGCCAACAGAAACAGGGCTATCTAGAGACACTGCTCGGTTATATGGAGGACGAATGGACTGCACAGACTGTGGACTTCTCAGACCTGCTGAAAACACACAAGCATAACACATAAATATCTCCTGATGAATCAACACATAATCAAGTACAAGACATAAACACCACCCCTCCCCACCCAAGAATGTCTTTCTTTCTTTCCAAAATAAACACTAAGCCAAAAAAAAAAAAAAAAACAAAAAAAACACAAAAGCCTCACATTCCAAATAAAGTAGAAACAACAATCTCAGTATTGGCTGAAGTATTAGGTACTCTTCTGTAGCCTGATATGGTCACTAATATTCTGCTTCACTTAATACTGAAAATTTTACCAGTGTTTCAAACTCCTGGAAGTTCTTCCATATGTGTACATATGTAAGTATGTTTATTATAATTTTATAATAAATATAACCAGATGAGTTGCTTTCTAATCAAACAATACAAATTGTAAAATTTCCTCCTAAACTTTTTTCTTTTCTTTTTCCAATCTACTTGATTTATCTATCTACTTCAGTTTAAGAAATAGTGCCACTAAAAATTAATAACCACCATTTTGGATAATTGTGAATTACTCCTTCTCAATTGATACACACAACATACTCTTGTAAAACTGATGAATGAGTAAACGCATAGCAAAAAGAGAAAGTTAGATAAGAACCAGCAAACACCAATGAAGAAAACTCTCATGATTGAGGAGATTACATAAGCACCAAAGGATAGGTTTTAATCTATAGCTTTGTTTGCTTGTTAATCCAATTCTTTGTGGCTGACAAAATATATGCCCTAGTACTTACCACTCATCTGGAATAATCAAAGATGAACATTTGCCTAAAATTGCCATGATTACTGGCATATTAGTTACGATAGGGAAATTTTTAAATAATTTTTTAAAAACATGAAAACAAGGCCAGGCGCTGTGGCTCACGCCTGTAATCCTAGCTCTTGGGAGGCCGAGGCGGGCGGATTGCTCAAGGTCAGGAGTTCAAAACCAGCCTGAGCAAGAGTGAGACCCCGTCTCTACTATAAATAGAAAGAAATTAATTGGCCAACTGATATATATATAAAAAATTAGCCGGGCATGGTGGCGCATGCCTGTAGTCCCAGCTACCCGGGAGGCTGAGGCAGAAGGATCACTCGAGCCCAGGAGTTTGAGGTTGCTGTAAGCTAGGCTGATGTCACGGCACTCACTCTAGCCTGGGCAACAAAGCGAGACTCTGTCTCAAAAAAAAAAAACAAAAACATGAAAACATCCAAGAAGTTTTTTAAAACACATACATTATAAATTAGCATAGGAAAGTGAGAGGCAGAGTATATATTCTGAAGTTGCAAAAGCTATTCATCTCTGGTCTTAGGGTAAGAGTACATACCCTTTGAAGAAAAGTTTCAAAGGCATCAAGAACAAAACTTAGCTCTTTCTTACCCAGCGAATTACTTCCTTGAAATATTTGTTGCTTGCTCCCCAGATGACTACCATTTGTGGATATGGAATTATTGTAAAAGTCAGAACTAGTCAGATCACCAAGAATAGCATCTAGATTGTCCAAGTCTCCAGATCCCTAAAAATAAAATTTTAAAACTTAACCTATGTACATAATTAGATAGATAGGTATAAGCATATTCATCAGAAGAAAATATATGAAATGGATAATAAAATACAATAATTACCTGAAATCATAATGCCCAACTTAAAGGCTGGTTTATTATGACTCCCACCCCTAATCTTCCTCCTTAAAAGTAAGAACAGTTTAAACTACTGAGAATAAATCACCAGATAGTCCTTTCAAAGGGGCATTTTTTAATTTACACTAGACATTTAATTCTTAAACTATAGGATATTATTGAGCTAGCATCAGTCACTAGCAATACACTGATCATTAGCTGACAGATATCTGCATGGACGCATACCTTCTGAAAATAAGCATGATTAACAATATAAGGGACAAGCTGACATTCAACAAGATAGTCATGGGCATGCTCTAAAAAGGGCTTTGGGGGCAGGGCACAGTGACTCCCACCTGTAATCCTAGCCCTCTGGGAAGCCAAGGCAGGAGGATCGCTTGAGCTCAGGAGTTCGAGACCAGCCTGAGCAAGAACAAGACCCGTCCCTACTAAAAATGGAAAAAATTAGCCAGGTGTGGTTGGCACGCACCTGTAGTCCCAATTACTTGGGAGGCTGAGGCAGAAAGATCACTTGAGCACAGGAATTTAAGTTGTAGTGAATTTATGATCACTCCACTGCACCCTAGCTGGGGAGACCCAGTGAGCCCCTCTCTCTCAAAAATAAAAAGCAGCTGGGTGTGGTGGCTCACACCTGTAATGCTAGCACTCTGGGAGGCCGAGGCGGGTAGATCGCTTGAGGTCAGGAGTTCTAGACCAGCCTGAGCAAGAGCGAAACCTTGTCCTACTAAAAATAGAAATTAATTGACCAACTAAAAATATATATACAAAAAATTACCCGGGCATAGCGGCGCATGCCTGTAGTCCCAGCTACTCAGGAGGCTGAGGCAGGAGGATCGCTTGAGCCCAGGAGTTTGAGGTTGCTGTGAGCTAGGCTGACGCCATAGCACCCACTCTAGTCTGGGTAACAAAGTGAGACTCTGTCTCAAAAAAAAATTTAAAAAATAAAAAGCAGGGGTGGGAGCTTGGGTCAAAAAATTTTGCCAGGCCAGGCATAGTGACTCATGCCTGTAATCCTAGCACTCTGGGAGGCTGAGATGGGAGGATTGCTTGAGCTCAGGAGTTTGAGACCAGCCTGAACAGGAGCAAGATCCTGTCTCTACTAAAAATAGAAAAATTAGCCGGGTGTCATGGAACATGCCTATAGTCCCAGCTGCTTGGGAGGCTGAGGCAGGATTGCTTGAGCCCGGGAGTTTGAGGTTGCAATTAACTATGATGACATCACTGCACTCTACCCAGGGCAACAAAGTTAAAATCTGTCTAAAAAAAAAAATTGCCAAACACTAGGTTAAACAAAGTTAAGCCCATATTCTATTATAACTTTAAGACTTCTCCATGACTTTCACTTGCTCAGGTGCATATTAACATCTCCTAGAATAGTGTTTCTCAAGCAGAGTTTGGGGAACACTTATATACAAAATGTCATCTTGTACACGAAACTTGATTTTTTAGGTAAAAATCCAAATTATGTTCCTTAATACAAGTGTTTTTCCTGATTACTTCTACCATATCCTTAATGACCCTATCTACTTATTCCAACAATAAACACCTCCATGAACAAAATTTCACATTGTTACTAAAGAGTTGCAGTCACATTTTAAAACATACATATTTCTAAACTGCATCATAATATACTTTATTGATACCCAAAAGAATTATAAGAAGACTAAAGCTCAACTTAAAACTTTCATTAAATAAATCTAAAATGAAGGATAAGAATTTGTGTATTAAAAGAAAACCAAAAGAATTTGCATATAACACATTATCTAACACAGAAATGAAATGAAACATAATGACTACGCTGGAAAATACAGAAAACAAATTACCTCTTCACTTGTTTCCGTCTTAATTTTAGGGTCTTTCTCTTGACTTGAGCTAGGAATGGTGGAACTGCTACACTGACTCATTTTATTATCCACTCCTTCCACTTGGGGCTGTAGTTCTTTAGAAAGCGTATCACTAGGATCATCCCTGTCCAGTAGATATCTAAGAAGTGCATTATTCTCCTTCTTCTTAGGACTTAGCTGCTCCTGCTTGACATTTCCTTCCCCACAAGAAGTTGTACTGCTCGTGTCTTTCCCAGTGGCTTCTGCAGTAATCTTGGCTACTTCAGCTGGCGAATTCCCATTCTGCAGCAACTTGTGCAAAATGCGATGCTTCTCTTGCAACAGTGACCCGTGCACATTGGATGTGGAGGACACTCCTCCAGATGTCGATGAGGAGACTCCAGAGGGGCTGGTGACACTAATGGAAGAGTCTTTACAACTTGAATCCAGTGGGGAATTGGTCAAGGAGGAATGACCCCGGTCATCAGAAGAACAGGTAAGTAACTGTAGTAATTTTTTGTGACCTTTGCTTTCCAAAGGACCCCTTTGATTCTCTGACCCTTCAACACTGCTCTCCTTACTTTCTTTGTCACTGAGGTGATCCCTGCTATTTGACTGACACATTGAACTCTCCACTGGATTTTGGTCACAGTACAAGCCTAGAGGACTCTTAGAATCCTGACTGCTTACTTTACTTGGTTGAGTTATATTCATATTGGGAGAGTTATCCAATTTGGGGCCTGGTGATGACAGAGTAGATAAAAGAGAAGTCCCCACGCCCTCACTGATGGCTTGCAGGGCACTGAGAGAGCTGCTGGAAAAGTTGTGGCTCCCAGTAGTACCAGAAGATCCCATGGGAGAGTGCACACCTAGATTTGGAAAAAAGTTAGGAAAAGAATTAGACAACCAGACACCATAACAAAACAACGCTTAATTCTCCAAAGTTTCTATTGTAAAATGAATTAACTTCAAAAGAATTACAGTGGTATGGAAAGAAAAGAATTACTTGAAAAAAAAGAAAAGGAAATGCCAATATAAATACCTGCAACAGGAGAAAACTGATGTGAAGCCATCTTTGGACTCCCTCGATTACGAGGAGAAATCATGATATTCTGCTGGTTGGAGCCAAGACCAGGACTCCCATGTGGGGGACTACTCATGCTGAGCCCATAGCTGTTGTTCTGGTAGGAAGATGGTGACTGCATGCCTGGCCCAGGAGTCAGTGAAGCTATGTTACTGGAGCCCCCATACCTAGTTCCACTCATCTGCCCTGTGGTGCTGGGATCTGCCATGCCATAGGCCCTGTTGCTTAGCATCTGTAAGCCTTGGTTTGGCGACATGCTCATGCCACCTACTGAATTACTGCATCCAGCTGCAGGAGGTCTAATGCCTTGTCCAACAGGATTTGGGTTTGGTCTATACCCATTTTGTTCTCTGCAAAAAACACACAAAACATGAAAGTTTTACTTAAAAATTACAGGCATGCATTAAAGCCATGAATCACAGATTTAAAAAAGAAAAAAAGATAAAGCAATTACCTAGGAACTTAACTTCTTAGGTGCCATTCCAATACCTAGTGATAATTCCAATCTAGATATTGATCAATCATTAACCTAACTTTTTTTTAATAAGCCACAAAAACTAAATGAGTAACACCACCACAGCAAAGTGAGGTACCAACAACTATGCTAAATGGAATCCTGGCCGAACTTTACTAGAGCTGCCGCATATCTATGGATTAACCTGGAGGTATCCCACAAATCACTCAAAATAATTAATGAGTGAATATCCTTCAGGAGTTTCCTATTTATCATTACCAATACTAGTAGTAACTATGTTTTTTTGTTTTTGAAAAAGAGACAGGGTATAGCTTCTGTCACCCAGGTGGAGTGCAGCAGTATGATCATAGCTCACTGCAGCTTCAAACTCCTGGGCTCAAGCTAACCTCCTGCCTCAGCCACCCGAGTAGCTAGGACTACAGGTGTGCACCACGATTCCTGGCTAATTTATTATTATTATTTTTAGAGAAGGCTATGTTGCCCAGGCTAGTCTCAAATTACTGGCCTCAAAGTGATCCTCCCACCTCAGCCTCCCAAATTGCTGGAATTACAGTTGTGAACCAATGGCACCTAGCCACCATCCTTTAAAGTGTACTTGCACATTTTAAATTCAGTCCCTATAAGCAATACATCATTAGAAATAAAAGGTAACAGAGATAATCAGATTTTATGTGCCCTTTTATCCACCAGCCCTCCCCTCTCTCAGCTTTCCCATAAAGTAATTATTTAATAAATACTTACTTCCATATAAAAATAAAACCTTAAAGAAAACACATCAGGGCCGGGCGCGGTGGCTCATGCCTGTAATCCTAGCTCTCTGGGAGGCCCAGGCGGGCGGATTGCTCGAGGTCAGGAGTTCGAAATCAGCCTGAGCAAGAGCGAGACCCCGTCTCTACTATAAATAGAAAGAAATTAATTGGCCAACTAATACATATAGAAAAAATTAGCCGGGCATGGTGGCACATGCCTGTAGTCCCAGCTACTCGGGAGGCTGAGGCAGCAGGATTGCTTGAGCCCAGGAGTTTAAGGTTGCTGTGAGCTAGGTGACGCCATGGCACTCACTCTAGCCTGGGCGACAAAGCGAGACTCTGTCTCAAAAAAGAAAAAAGAAAACACATCAGAATCTAGCCATCTACCTTCCTGCTTTTTTTCTTCATTAAATTTCTCCTCCTCTCTTTTTAAGGGCCTTGTTTATGTAACCATTTTTTTTTTCATTTTTCCCTTTTTTATTTTAACAATAAAGCATTTTGAGAACACTGTTACATTTAATATGAGACTATACAGTAATCTATCATTACCTCTGAAGAAAATGAGTTGAGACAAAGCCATGACGATCATTTGTTACGGGATTTCGGAAGAGTTTGCTTTTTGTTTGTGCCGTCACTATAGTGCCATCAGCCAACGAGAATCGATACAATGGGGTTTCTGCATGGCCATGGATGTAAGCTGTTGAGGAAAATATCCCATTACTAGTAACAACAATCGGCAAAACAAATACTTATAGGGAAGGAGAGGAAAGAAATACACTTCAAGTACAAATTTTTAATAAAGACTAGACCTGCACCAAAATTATAAACAGGCTATAAAATAAGAAAGCTCAGGAATTATTCCACTACCCCGCACCAACAAAACAACTATAGTCATGTAGACAGATAGTGCTTTATGGCTGTAGGGCCTAGCTCCTGGGCCACAGACTAGTACTGGTCCATGTCCTACTAAGAACTGGGCCACACAGCAGGAGGTAAGCAGCAAGCATAGCTTCATCTGTATTTACAGCTACTCCCCATCACTTGCATCACTACCTGAGCTCTGCCTCCCGTCAGATCGGCGGAGCCATTAGATTCTCATAGGAACTCGAACTCTACTGTAAACTGCGCATGCGAAGGATCTAGGTTGCGCACTCCTTATGAGAATCTAAGGCCTGATGATCTGAGGTTGTGATGCTAGCAATGGGGAGTGGCTGCAAATATAATCATTAGCAGAGAGGTTTGCACAATAAATGTAATGTGCTTGAATCGTCCCGAATCCACCCCCTGCCCCCCCTCCACTGCCCACTAGTCTGTGGAAAAACTGTCTTCCATGAAATCGGTCCTTGGTGCCAAAAAGATTGGGGACCACTGCTTTATAGCATATCAAACACAATCACAAACAAAATCAAGAATCAACCCCAAAGCCAGGCACAGTGGTACATGCCTGTAGTTCCAGCTCCATGGGAGGCTGAGGGGGTAAGGCCTACTTAAGCCCAGGAATCTGAGTCCAGCCTGGGCAAAAAAAGCAAGATCCCCATCTCTAAAAAATTAAAAAATAAAAGAACCCCAAAATTCTTTACCTTCTTGATAGTGACGTTTCTGGGACCATGACTGCCCATCATTAAGACTAAAAAATCTTTGAATACACCTTCGGATTATATCTTCAAAGCCAGGCCTCATGGATGATCTCAGTGAATTTGTATCTATATTGACAACCTTTCCTATTAAACAGAAAATAAAATAAAAAATTTAAAACTAGCCCACAAGTATTTATTGGTTGCCTACACATGGCTTAGCACTGTAAAACAAAATAAAAAATACTAAATCTTTGTTCCACCTTCTCTAATCCAAATTTCTACTATATCCAGAACTTTTCTCCTTAAGGACACAGTACTAGCAGGATTCTCTCACATTTACAAGTTCTGCTGTGGGGTATGTAACAACATATTTGGTCTCTGTCCAGGTTCCTGGCACAGAGTTCCCACCTAAAACCCTCAGAAATTCCTGAGTAAAAAAGTATCTTTTAGTTATTCACAAACAGTCCCTTTCCTTTATGAAAACACCTGTGTTTATGCTAATTAGGTTACTTAGGGTGGGGCTCCTAGGTCAGGTGAGGATGGGGCTGGTCACCACAAAGACCAAGTGATTAAAGGATTAGAACTTTCAGCCCGATAGGGGGTGGGGTGGCCTGGAGATTAAACACTATAAAAACTCTTGCACAAGAGCTTTGATGATCTTCCAAGTTGGTGAACACACTGAGGTGCTAGGAGGGCTGCAAGCCCAGAGAGGGCACAGAAATTCAAGCCCCATTCCCACCCTCCCTATACACCTTCCACCTGGCTGATGCCAATTGTAGCTTCCATAATAAACCAGTACACATGAGTAAAGTGTTTCCCTCATTTCTTGAGTCATTCCAGCAAATCATCAAACCTGAAAAGGGTCATGCCTGATTTATAGTCAGTCGATCAGAAGCACAGAAGGCCCAGACTTGCAACTGGCATCTGAAGTGCAGGCAAACTTATGGGATTGAGCCCTTAAATTTGTAGGACCTGATGCTGACTCCAGGTAGACAGTATCAGAACTGAAACTGTAGGCACCAGCTGATGTGAGAGAACCGGTCAGCAAAGAGAAACACCCGCGCGTCTGGTGTCAGAAGTGGTATGTGAGGCTTTCCCAGATGCAGTGCAGAATATGATGTATCACACAACTCATTTTACTTTCTAAACATATAGACTATAACATGCCCAGATAGCCTTACGCTCATTTCTATTTAAGATAAAATAAGATAAAATATAGGAGTAAAATTATTAATCTGAAGATATTCTGTCCCTAAAATTATGAAGAAAAAACACTTGCCTAAACAGCTAGCAGGGGTGATTTTTTGCATCTGAGAGGTGATCACATTTTTGTACACTTATAATAACTTAAACTGGGAGGGTTAACCAAATACTCATTTCCGTAATTCTGGAAGTTTCTGACTACTTTTGCTTAGTATTAACATAAACTGAAGGCCAGGCATGGTGGCTCAGACCTGTAATCCCAACACTTTGGGAGGTTGAGGCGGGAGGATCACTTGAGGCCAGGGGTTCTAGATCTGCCTGAGCAACATAGCAAGACCCCGTCTCTACAAAAAGTTTAAAAAATTAGCCAGACATGGTAGTGGGCACCTGTAGTCAAGCTACTTGAGAAGCTAAGGTGGGAGGATCACTCGAGCCTGAATTTGAGGTTTCAGTGAGCTATGGTGACGCTGCTGCACTCTAACCTAGGCAACAGAGAAAGACCCTGTTTCCAAAAAAGAATAAAACAGACACTGGAGACACAAAATATATACACTCCAAAATGCTATGGAATTAAAGAAGGTTGCATAAAGGTAAGTGGTCCTCAAAAACTAGTTAGGTCTTTTCACTCTGAGCAGCACCAGGGTGGCTGGCAAGCACAAGTGGCAGAAAGGGAGCTAAGAAGAAAGTGGTTAATCCATTTTCATTTTCTAAAAAAGACTGGGGTATGATGTGAAGGTATTAGCTACGTTCAACTGAAAACATACTGGTCAAAAGAGCTCAAATAACCAAAATTGCACCTGATAGCCTCAAGAATTGTTTTTGAGGTGAACCTTGCTAATCTGTAGAATGATGACACTGCATTTAGAAAATTCAAATTATTTATTGAGGATGCGGCAAAAAACGTATGACCAACTTCCATGGCATGGAATTTGCCTGAAGAAAATGTGCTCCAAGGTCAAAAATGGCCGACTATGAAGCTTGTGTTGACATCAAAACTACCAATAGTTATCTTTTTGTCTGTTCTGTGTAGATTTTACTAAAAATGCAATACTCCAAAATCCAGGTAACCTCTTATGCTCAGCACCAACAGGTCTGCTAAATCCCAAAGACAGATATCAGGACCCACAAGAGAGAGACAAATGACTTAAAAGAAATGTCAATAAACTGATTCCAGACAGATTAGGAACGACATTTTAAAAAGAAAGCTTGTTGATCTACTTATCCTCTCCATGATATATCCATTAGAAAAGTAAAAATACTGAGGGAAACCAAGTTTGAACTGGGAAAACTCATGGAGCTTCACAGTGAAAAGTAGTTCTAGAAAAGCTACTGGGGAAGAAAAAGGCACTAACGTTGAATGAGCTGATGGAGATAAGCCACCAGCCCAAAAATCTGTTTAAATTCAGACTTAATAGTAACAAAAAAATCTTATTACTAAATTTAAAAAATGACTGGAGAAAAGGGACAAATGCATTCCAGAAAAACACCTGTATACTGGTGCCCAAAATAGGGAAGATCTGTCCTCAATTGCCTCTCCTGAACTTATAAGCCCTAAGCCACATGACAAACACAAAATAGACATTCAGAAGTTTGCTGAGTGAAACATATCAAAGAACAGAAGATAAAATCTCTCCAGACACTAAAAAAGGACTGAGTGCAACAAACCTCCTATAAAATAATGGCTAGCAAGTGGAAGGCACCAACTGTAACTATGGTAAGCCAAATCTCAGTCTTGAATGATGTTAACCAGACAAAAGCATTTGATTTTTCTTGCTTGGTAATTTCTAACTTTTATAATAAACACGTATTGCTTTTATTAATATAATAAGAAAATACTAAAGGAATAATTTTTAAAGATACTACTTGCTAAACTGCTTAAAGATGTTTTATTTTGCATTTTCAGTAACAAATTTTACTTTTAGGAGAAAATTAAAACTGCCAAATCTTAACAGGTGCAGAGAAAGACACACTCCAAAAGGATAACATAACACATAAAAATTGCTGTCACCATGTTTACCTGAAAGTGAATATAGAGAAAATTTCTAGTATAAAGTAATATCCATCAGTGTAAACAGATTGTATTTTGAATTGTCAAATAGGTTTTTTGCTAATTTTTTTCATCTGTGAAAATCTCAGCCCCTCAAAACAGGTGACTGAGCCTGGCATAAAATGGCTAAATGTGAAAATAGATCATTTTCACAATATTATATATGTATATGCATATTATATATACATATTATATATACACATACATATATAACAGCTATGTTTTGTGTTTATTTAAACCTATTCCATTTTTATCAAATGAGTTATTGGGGGTCCACATCGTGTGTAAAAATTCTAGTGCTATACAAAGCAAAGAGCACAAATTTTTTTTGGTAGAGACAGGGTCTCACTACCCCAGGCTGGTCTCAAACACCTGGTCTCAAGGGATCCTCCTGTCTCAGCCTCCCAAAGTGCTGGGATTACAGGCATGAGCCACCACACCTGGCCAGTACAGGCTTTTTAAAATTAGATGCAAATTCTCTTATAAGCCATGATCTTGGACAATAAGCCAACCTCTGTTTCCTCATCTCTAAGATAGAGCATATATATGACAAGCCCTTGACATCACCATTTAGGGTTAGATGACCACAAGGGAGACCCTGAAGGTAAATATAAATAATACTGCCACCACATTTAATTTCATCAATGTGCCTTACCAATTGCAATGTCTTTAACTCTTTATTCCCATGGTCAAAAAATGACAGACCAAGACTGAAACTCACATTAGTGTCAAGAATTACTCCTAGTGATTCTCACTGAATTACTTATATTTTTGAAAATGTGTTTCTTTATGACAAATGGATTTGAAGTTAGAAATAATAAATTCTTATGCAAAATGCTATTGGGAGGGAAAGCTAGGCGACTCTACATTTGTTTTTTAATTTACTTAGGGAATTTTAAGTGCCAAACATACTCAACTCAAACTGCCAGAGGTTTCAGTGAAATTCTATTAGAGCTATACAAAAAATAATACATGTAAAGCATTCACTGCAGTAGGTGTAGGTACTTACATAATAGCACAGACTGTGGAAACAGTTAACTCTTAGAAAAATTTCCAAAATGAAAACACACACACAGTTTTTACCTGAAAGGTCGTGTCTAGTAATAAAGCTCTCAGGATTTGATGGAAATGCTCTTTCACCTGTAGTAATGCGGCGTGCCACACAGATCATACAGGATTGCAAATCTATAATAAAAATTTCATCTGATAAGAATTATATTTAACTTTTGGATATGTCTGTTCTATAGGTGAGCAAGGACACAGAATTCTGTAAGAAGAGTCATAACAATGGAAGTTTGGCTGCTACTGGTTTAATAAACATCACAAACACATGACTGCTCTTACCTTCCCCTTCCTCCATCATAGCTCGTGGCTGAGACAAGGCAAAGCACTGCATTGTTTCATATCTCTGGCGTATTTCAGGACTGGTGTTTATGTCTTCCAGCATATCATGTGTTTTCATCAACATACGGCAATTGAATGTATGGCTTTTTTGTCTCTGCGTCTCATTTGTCCAGGAAACTCCATTAACTTTGGAAAACAAAGCTGGTCAGTCTACGACCATCATCAAGAATTCAAGCATTTCCTCATCACACGTTTTCCACAGTAATGTCTACAATACCATTTCAGAGTGGCAATATACAAAACATTTGAATAATTTCAGCAGAAATCTCATTGTATAGTTTGTAATTGACTGTATATTTTGGCCCCATAAAGTGTACACCAAAGTTTGAACTCACTGAGGCCATATATGAAAATTTTGCCTTTTTTTAAGCACAAAACAAGGTTTATTGAGGGGAGAAAAATAGGATTATAAAGTAAGAGCAAGATACACGTTTACAGAGCAAGATGCAGTTGCCACAGATGATGAATGGGCAAAAAGGCTGAAACAAAAAGGCTGAAAATTTTGCTATTGACCACATGCCTGTCTATACGAGTTTGTTTACCTGGCTTCCTGAAAGGTGCATTCAATTTTCTAAGAAATATATTCAAGGAAAAAAATTGTCTAACAATTTAAAAATCTACATTAAAAGCCTACCTGTAGATTTTGGTAAGTTTTTAAGGAAATCCTTTCTGTCTTCTTCATGCAAGATATTGTAGACACTTGTGTTAACCAGGTCCTCCTGCTTATATTGCAGGTATTGTGTCACATTTTCTGACACAAATACAATGTTCCCATCTCGATTCACCACAAACAGGAAACCATCCAAAGCCTAAAATGGGATATGTTAATACAGGCTGTTAACAGAACTGTATCCTACCCAATCCACCCGCATTCTTAAGCAGAAGCCCCAACCCAAATCATTGTGACTGGATTTGGAGACACGGCCTTCGAAAGTGTGGGGGCTCTAATCCAAAATAACTGGTGTCCCCATAAAGGAAGAGAAAAAGAGAGATCAGAGAAAAGGGCATGTGAAGACAGTGATAAGCCATGGAGAAACCAATTCTACCAACCCCTTGATTTTGGACTGCCAGCCTCTAAAACTACAAGAACTAAATTTCTGTTGTTTAAGCTTCCCAGTCTGTGGTATTTTGTTACGGTAGCCTTAGCAGACTAAGACAGAAGCACCCTTAGTAGTAAGTACAATTTTTAAAAACTACTGCTGATTCAATAATTACTGCAAACTATAAACCACTACGCCACTACTTCTATCAATATTAGTACCATTACTATAGGGCTTATAAAAAATTAAAACAACAATTTGGGAGGAAAGAGACAAATATGGTCAACATAAAATCTGAATTAATGTCTAACCCTAATTTGTTTTAAGAATTATATCTTCCAAAGGTACTTTTAAAAATAAGAAAATGGGCCTGGCACAGTGGCTCAAGGCCTACAATCCTATCACTTTGGGAGGCTGAGGTAGGAAGATTGCTTGAGGCCGCGAGTTCACGACCAGCCTGAGCAAGAGCAAGACCGACCCTCCTCTCTACAAAAAAACAGAAAAATTAGCCACGTGTGGTGGCCCATGCCTGTACTCCCAGTTGCTCAGGAGTCTGCGGTAGGTGGACCACTCACACCCAACAGTCTGATGTTGCAGTGAGCCTTCATGACACCAGCACACTCTAGCCCAGGCAACAAAGTGACACCCTATCTCAAAAAAAAAAAGAAGAAAGGAAAGAAAGAGAAAAAGAAAAAGAAAATCATTCTTAGCTCTTCCTGCTTTTCCATTTGATACAAAGTCAAGCTACAGGAACCACTAACCTTAATGAGAATTTGCAAAGAGGATTTACAACTGATCAACTAAAAGCAGGTAGAACAAACTAACTGAAACAAAAACAAATTGGCAAGTGAACTTTAAGAGCTTCAGCACCCCTGGTTTGAAGAGAAACATTCTATAAGTGCCACAGATTAATCAAATCTATTTAAGAGACCTACTTATAAATACAATGAATGTTTTTAAGCCTTAAAAATTCCTGGAGAAGGTAAAACTATAGTATGCCATATGACTAATCATGCAAAAATGCACAAAAAGTCTGAGCTAAAATACACAGTCATCCCCTCAGTATCTGTGCAGGATGGGTTTCAGGACCCCCTGTGGATATTAAAATCTAAGGGTGCTCAAGGCCCTTACATAAAATGGTATATTTGCATATAGCCTCCGCATGCCCTCTCATATACTTTAAATGGCCTCCAGATTACTTACAATACCTAATACAATGTAAATGTTATGTAAACAGTTACTATACTGTTTTTTTGTCCTATTGGTATTTTTTATTATTTCTTCCTCCCACCCCCAAATATTTTTAATCCAAGGTTGGCTGAATCTGTAGTGCACAACCAACATATACAAAGAACCGACTAAATATTACTACCTCTGTGAAATATTTGGTCACCTTTGTGAAATCGTAGATTACCTTTCTTCTCCTGCTTCTTTATATTTTTATATTTGTGTGTGTGCCCTTTCTCAGTTTGCAACTATAACTTATTATGATGGCAAGTCCTCCTGACTTATGTTTATTGTAAATTTAAGAACATTTTAGGCTGGGCTTGGTGGCTCATGCCTATAATCCTAGCACACAGGGAGGCCAAGGTGGGAGGATTCTGGAGGCCAGGAATTTGAGACTAGCCTGAGCAAGAGTGAAACCCCATCTCTTAAAAAAAAAAAAATAGAAAGATTAGCTGGGCATGGCGGCACAGGGCTGTAGTCCCTGCTTTGGGAGGCTGAGGCAAGAGGATCACTGGAGCCTACAATGAGCTATGATGGCGCCGCTGCACTACAGCCCAAGCGACAGCGCAGGAGCCTGTCTCAAAAAATAAATAAATAAAAGAACATTTTACCATCACATTCAGAATACTGAGTTTTGTCTCACAGAAAGAAACGTCTTCTCTTTGTTCTCATTTCCTAACCAAAATTTCACCAATTTTTTTTGTCACTTTATCATATAACCAAAGTGTAACACAGCTTACTGGACAGCTGAAATCTTTATACTTGCCTGAAGTAAAAGTGGTCCTAAGGAGTCTTTATCAATAACTCCCTGTCCTGTAGAAGATACATCAGCTTTCTGAACATCGTCATCATTGGAAATAGCTTTCCCTAAAAAGACAGAAGCTGTTCTAAGAAATGGCACACATATCAGTTATAGATTAAATCCACCTGAAGGTGGATAGTCCCCAGAACAAGACATAAAGACACATACATGCATGCACACACAAATACATACAGAACACTTCCTAATGAAAGAATTATGCTACAATTTGGAAATATTAAAACTAAACTTCATAGTTTAGTTTTGCCAGGAAGGCAAAATATACCCTAGATTGTCTTTCACTATTAAATGTACTTATCCCATGGCTTTTCCAAAAGGGAACCAACACATGACAGAATGAGCAACACTGGCATTCTTCCAATTCTGGTTAACCGTTTCCTAAAGAGCAAAGCTGGTCAACTCACTTGTCTATTTCCATACTTGCTACCCTCAATCAGCTGTAGTCCCTACCCACACAGGGAGCAAAAAGGTAAATACAAATACAGTAACAAGGTCCTTCTGCCCGCCCCCTATGATGCCAGGAACCTGGCCGCACAGTAGGAGGCCATCGGCCAGCCAGCAAAGCCCCACCTGAACCCACAGCCACTCCCCATCACAGACTGAACCAACCCTGCCACCCCACCCCACTCCACCCCACCCCGTCAGATCAGTGACTTCAGACCGTGCCAGGAGCTTGAACCCCAGTGCAAACTGTGCATGCGCGGGATCCAGGCTGCCCGCTGCCTGCCCGGGAGAGCCCAACGGTCTGAGGTGGAGCTGGGGCCGCGACTCCCCTCCTCCTCTGTCAGTGGAAACTGTCTTAGCAAAACCGGGCCCTGGTCTCAAAAAGATTGGGGCCCGCTGTTCTAAAAGACATGAGTGTTTTTCTTACTTTATATTACCTTGCTCTTTTATCTGACGTATCTGTCTTACTGTTTCCTTTAAAATCGCACATTTATCTGGTTTGACATTGAAATTGTCGATATCACTAAGATTAGCAGATATCAGTTCAGCCAATTCTTCAATGTATTTACTCTCCTGCTCCCGTCTCCTCTTTTCACCACTGCAGGTAAGACTAAAGGGTGGGGGAGGGAGGGGAGGGAGAGCCATGACATAACTATCACAAAAGAGCTGTTAGCAGAATCAGCACCTACATAACACCATTACTTTATCTATAAACAAATTAAACTCATCCAACAGAAACATTCTTCAAAACATTGCCTTGAAGTAGTACACAACACAGAAATTCACATAGACCTAAATTCAATTCCACCTTTTTGTTAGCCAGGTGGCCTTGGGCAGGGTTGCCCTCAGTCCCTTCATCTGGAAAATAGGGATAGTCTTTACCTTGTAGAGATAATAAAAAAGCTAACAAATAATAACAAAATAGTGGTGACTACTTATTATTGATGAAATTTTATTAATTTTAGATTGTTTATTTTTCAACTATTACATTAAAACTCAAATAACTTGACCTTGGCAAATACTTAAAAAGCTACAGAGTAGCAATGTATAGATTACACTATTTTGTTTCAGATTTTTAAACTTCTAATTTCATTCAGGAAAAGAATGATGAAAGCTTACAAATGCCAAAAATATCAACTTAGATTCTTAAAGGATATAAAAGATTCTTACTTGTAATAACCTCGGTAATCTATTCCTACCTCCTACCCCTTCCAAAATTCTTCTTACAGTACCACAAACTTAATATTCTACCTTCTATCTCAATCAGCAATTAAAAAAAAAAAAAAAGCTATTACATAAGGGTGTCCATCTCATCCTCATCACAATGCAAAACTAAAAAAAATCTAACCAGTGAATATAAATAACAAGAAGTTGAGGAGCTCGGCGGGTCAGGGCATGATTGTGGTAAAGCATCTGGAAATAAGTCACCTACCCTTGTCCTGGAGTATCACATGGCAATTTGCGTTTTCGTGAATCAGTGGCCAGTGGATCCAAGGAGTTTTCTCCTAATCCACTCATCTTGAATATACATCAGCAACTAGAAAAGAATAATAAGGAGTAAGATAAACACATTATAAAATATCCATGACTCTATGAAGGTACTGACTGCATACTGTAATTCAGAACTATTTTCTCTAAATGGTTAGATAATTCTCAACACCCTTTATCATAAATGAGTACACTGAAAACAACCTCAGATTTCATATTCCAATTTAATTATGCAGAATGTCCAACACCAAGACAAAAATTTCTCAGCTACTACTACAAATGTGCATATTGAATATCTCACAAAGAATAAGGCATCGTCTCCATATTTAATAAAGAGAGACTGCCAAGCCTCTGATACTGATAAAATCCTAAATTGTATTTACACTCAAGTAAAGCACAAATGAAAGCTTGTCTTGTAATTTGGTAAGAAGCCTTCAAATGGCCCGGCCCAGTGAAGCACGCTTATAGTCCCAGCTACTCAGGAGGTTGAGGCAGGAGGACAACTTGAGCCCAGGAGTTGAAGGCTACAGTGAGCTATGATCACACCACTGCGCTCTGGCCTGGGCAACAAAGGGAGTCTCTTTAAAAAAAAAAAATACATCTTGGGGGGATCTAAATTATTCAGGCTATTTTCGGGACAGCACTTTTTTCTTTTGAAACATTTCATTAATATTTATCATACAATGGCTTTTTCCTCTGTTACTTGTATAAATGACATTATAAAATTCCACTACATTCTGCTTAGAAAGTAGATGTAAAATAGGGAAACTCCCATGGTAATAGGGAGGGACACTTTGACAGTGATCCATACAGCAAAAATTATTTTAATATTGACTGATGGAAAAATAATATGCTTTGGCTAAAGTTTAATTGATGGTGAAGAAGATAACTGTAGAGTATTTCTTATTGAGAAAGGAACAGATTTTAATACTCAGTGGTTCATACTGAAGACATCTACTAAGCCCTCATTTACTAAGAATTTTATCTGTACTTAAACTTTTGTATAGGAACAAGATAATCACTGTTCTAAATAATTCCATGTCAACCAACAAAGTCTGAACATTCAAAACCATTTTTTATGTTAAAATGTATCTCGCATCTCAGCTAAATTTAAATTCTGTTAGACATACACGGAAGGAATAAATTTCCACTAGGTGGCACAATACCACCAGAAAGGAAGACAAAGTACTACCAAATGAAAAATTCACTCAAGATGCTGATCAAACTTAAAACAGCCTTTTTAAAAAACCAAAATCACATGATCATAAATCAGGAATTCTAGATTACAACACTGTCTTTACAAATCTACTAGATATGAAGTGTAAATATCAACAAAATTCATTCTATAATTTTAGCAGTAAAATGCAAAGGATGGGCGCGGTGTGGTGGCTCGCGCCTGTAATCCTAGCACTCTGGGAGGCCGAGGCGGGCGGATAGCTGAGGTCAGGAGTTCAAAACCAGCCTGAGCAAGACCCTGTCTCTACTAAAAATAGAAAGAAATGAATTGACCAACTAAAAATATATATACAAAAAATTAGCCAGGCATGGTGGTGCATGCCTGCAGTCCCAACTACTTGGGAGGCTGAGGCAAGAGGATCGCTTGAGCCCAGGAGTATGAGGTTGCTGTGAGCTAGGCTGACGCCACGGCACTCACTCTAACCAGGGCAACAAAGTGAGACTCTGTCTCAAAAAAAAAAAAAAAAAATGCAAAGGATGAAAAGCTGAGATGACTTAAAGATTTGCTGTGATTTTTCCCCCATGACATAAGTTTAAATGAAGGAAAGAAAGGAACTTAAAATAACCTTAATAGTGGATCAACACTACGATTTTAAAACACACTCGGATCATACAATCTCAGGAGTACTGTATGTCAACATCATAAAAGTCAATGAAAGCCTGTATAAATAATCCAGATTTTAAAGGAACCTAAATAGAAATAACAATTAAAAGCAGTATTTGATCTCAGACAGAATCCTGTACTAGAGGAAAGGTGGTGAGGTGATTCATGCCTGTAATCCCAACTTCTCTGGAGGCTGAAGTGAGAGGATCACTCGAGCCCAGGAGTTCAAGACCAACCTAGCCAACACAGCAAGACCTTACCTCTTGAAAAAAAATAATGCCATAAAAGGTATTATGGGATCAATTTATATATAAAGTTTGAATATGGATGATGAAAGTGTTATTAATGTTAAATTTCCTAAAGTTGATGTAGAACTATGATTATTTAAGTGACTGTCAACATTCTTAGTATCTAGGGCTATGGGACCATTATACATGCAAATGACGCTGAGCCAGCTGGGAAGAATTATGCGCATTGTAAGTCAACCAAAAGAACAGGGGAAGGAGAGAAGGAATAGAGTAGGGAGTGGGGGTGGAGAGCAGTGGCTCACAACTATAATCCTAGCTCTCTGGGAGACCAAGGTGGGAAGATTGCTTGAGCTCGGTAGTTCCAGACCAGCCTGAATAGAAAAATTACCTGGGCGCTGTGGCATACACCTGTAGTCCCAGCTACTGGGGAGGCTGGGGCAGGAGGATTGTTTTGAGCCTAGGAGTTGGAGGTTGCAGTGAGCTATGATGATGCCACTACACTCTAGTCAGGGTGACAGACTCTGTCTCAAAAAAAAGAAGAAGGCAGTAGGGCAAAACGTTGACATTAGGTGAATCTTGATGGGAGGACAAATTTAAAAATTCTTTACATTATTTTCTTGCAACTTTAAGTTTAAAATTATTTCCAAATAAAAAATTGTGGAAACTATTTCGGTTTTGATTTTCCAATTTTCATATTTAAAAATGATTCCTTAATTATAAAAATAAAATAATTCTAGCTGTGTCTCAATAATTGGCTTTATATTTATATCATTGAAAGGTTATTTTTAAATTAAGTGGCAAACTATCCACTGAGTAACAACATTTTAAAGATATAATTTATTCCACATTCTAGATATTATTCCTTCCTTTTCCCCAAGACTGAGTGGAAAAACTATTTGGTGAGCAATAGCATTTCTTTCATTTGAAAGACATAATTTAGTCTATATTCTCAATACCATATCCTTACTTTGCTGGTTAAATATAAGCTGAATCCTCAGTACAGCTTAGAGTGCCTAGCACATAATAGTTAATAGGTGGTGAATAAATATTGAATAAGTAAAAGGAACATTCAAGCCACTAAATCATATTTTAGAATTTCCTTCAATCTGATCTACATAATCATTCAATGCAATCCTATTACTTTAAACGTTTTAAATTTTCACTTCTACAGTTGATATAGAATGTCACCATAATGTATTCTGGCAGCATAAATTATATCAATATAAAACCTAACCCTAACCTTGAAAGTCTCTCAGTATGGAAGAAATCAATAAGCACAATTATCAGTCTGAACAGGAAATGCATACACATCATTCGTGTGAAGTCAACATTTATGTGCATATAGAGAAACCTAAATACGCCTACCCATGCCCTAGACACTTGTGGCTTTTTCTCTTGATCTGGCAGAACAGGTTACAATGTACACGTAAGCCTGCACAGTCTCCTTGCTACCAAACTTACTCTATCACACAGTCCGACCTAATTATCCAAAAAATGAACTAATGTAAGGTCATAACTTAAAACCATGGTTTTGTGGTTTACCCACACATTAAGGTATAATTATTTAAGATACAAAATATATTTCATTTTTTTAGGAACAGATTTGACAGATTTCTAATTCTTAGACATGACCAAACAGTAGTACTTAGTACATTTACAACTGTACAAGACTGCAATTTCTGACCCCAAAATATTAATACATACAATAACTAATATAATTCCTGAGTACAAATGACTATGAAAAATACTTCTGTTTAGTATTCACCTCGGTTTTAAACATAAAAAACTGTAAATAAACAGCATTTGTTTTGTCTGCCAGGCCTGTTGCCTCCTTCTCACTGGGAAGATATATAATATTATCTAGTTTGGTAGATTACTCCTTTTAAGATATAAAAGGTAAATACCTAGCACAGACATACTAAATCTAGACCATTTTCAGGCAGCAGTCAAGAATGAAGGTAAGAGAGGAGAACATGTATATACCAGGACCATGAAGTTCTGAAGGTTAAGAAACACAGATCAGTAACTGACTACAAAAGTTAAATATGTACATCTTAAATTACAATTCATCTAGAAGACAGAATTGGCAAAATGCAACCTCAAAGGGGAAATAACAGAGCACAAGAGTTTCCCAGTATGTTTGATTATATGAACAGTCTATTAAAATTGAGCCCCCTCTAAATTCTGACTCCCTACAACTAAAGATTATCACCTATAGTTGAAAAGGAAAAAAAATAGGACCTTAATATATATTTTCCACCAAATAATGTGTGCTCCTGAAATCACATCATAAATCCAATAATGAGATGCCTGCATAATTATTGTTAAATTTCCAATGAAGAGATGGCACCCAATTTACTGTTAAACTGGAAATGTACTCTAACACACTCCCAGGTAGATACGCAATCCAATCACAGAAGCCTTTTCAAGCCCCTGTCACCACATTATAGAAAAAGACTAGAATGTAGAACTTTTCAATGAATCAGAATTCAAAGGCTAAAACCAATTCAATCTTTCAGTGTAAACTCTACCACCCAGAACCATGAGCCATTTTTACAATTTTCCTTATCTAAAATGTTTCTACTGAAAAGAATTCTATGCTATATTACTTAAATGTAGTAATACAACATTACACACTTTAAGCTTATTTTTAAGCAAGATATTCTATGCAATTACTTCAAATATAAAGTAGCAGCAATTTATAGAATACCTTTCAATGCTATCAAAATGTAATGCTATCCATTTCTGTATTATTTGGAAAAGTCAGAAGCATAGACATGATAAGATTTAAAATGAGCAAGAATCTTAAAGCAATTGCATAGAATATTTCATATCAATACTATAGGCCCTTCTATACACAACAATCAAGCTATGGAACATACTGAAGCTTAGACATCCACAGAATATAAATTGCTAAAAAATGAACATTCATGGAATAACTTATTGAGGCCAAAAGAGGCA